TGAATTGAAAATTTCCCTACCATTTACATTAATTCGCATATTATTTATAAATGTTTGACCTATTAGTTGTATAGGCGCAACGTTATCAGTTGCAGCGAGTTTGACCAATCTTCCATCATCGCCCTCCTTCTTTATGCGAAATTCAGTAAATAAATAAATCTTAGATAGATCGATCTAATTTTGACTACTATGAATTTTAAAATGATATGGTGTATCAGTGAGAGGATTACTTGGTAAAATTTCAAAGACCTTGGATGAAGAAATGCTCACATTTGTTGGTGGGACTTGGAAAAATCAAGAGCATTTGTAATAGAATTTATACTATCTTTATCAATTTTGTGGAAACTCATTTTTAATAAAAACCAAAAGCGTCAGATTTTAATCTCTTTCTTTTAATAACTGTTTGATGACTAGGTATTGTCTTTCTTTTTATACCCCTTCCTGATCCAAATTGTTTAGGTAAACCTCCTTTTTCAAGAAATGTATCAATTCCCTTCTTTCCTTCACTGACTAAAGCTTCTTTTATGGGTTCTCCTTGGATTACTCTTCCCAATGCACGCTGACCTGTATTTAATGCCTCCTCTGAGACAGTCGTGCCTACACGTCGCATAATCGGTAGAAAAAATCTCCAAAGTCCTCTCATAACATCTCCAATTACAGCTCCTTTCTGCCCATATCCTCTTTGAAAAGGAGCTGTCCCCTTAAAATAGTCATCTGTAATTCCACCTCCTTTCATTGGAATAAAGTCATCATAGCTTACAGTACTAGTATCAAATAAAATGTGCACCATTTTTAATTATGAATGAAAAAATCAGAAGTTTATCACCTTCTTAAATATCAGGACGATCAGCACTGTACCGAATTCAAATGGTACAGGTCGACCGTTATCCATCGTTCTGAGTTCAATCTCAATCTCATTTACTTCTTTGGGTAATACTCGTGTGTAGATTGGGGAATCATATATTTTCTCATAATATTGTCCTGGAGTGGCTCCAGCCACAGAAACAACTCTTAGGAGTGAACTGAGTGAATTGCCTATAATCATACTTTCAGTAAGACCTCTTGAATATACAGCGAAGCTTGAGAAACCTCCTCTTAAATCACAACCATATTTGGCAATTTCATTGTTTTGAACCATATTTGGGTTTTGAAAGCCTAATACATAACCTAATTGATTTGAAAAAGAAACATATTTGATGCTTGGGTGTGTGAAGGTAACTTTAAATCGTTCAAAGTCGCTATGATAAAACAATTCTATCGAATCTATAATTTGTTTTTGTGTTGTCGAGTCTACCTTGCCTACTTTACCATATTTTTTTACAAGGATAGGCATATTTGGAAGATAATTTATTCTTGTCTGAGGTGTTACTTTCTGTCCAAGCGTCGAGAGTACATGTGTAAGTACTCGTTCATATTCCTCAGTCCATAAAGGATCACTAAAGCTAGCCTCGGGCTTTGGGAGTTGTGGAAGTGTAGGTGAACTGGGTAAGGATTGCCTTTCAGCTGAGGATGAGGGAGATGCATCTCTCAATTCTTCCTCGCTATCCTGTGTCAAAGATAGAGAAATGGGTAAAGAAGGTTGTGTTGATTTTACTTGAGTGGGTTGCTTAGGAGGTTGAGGTGTGGGTTTAGGAGTTGGTTTTGGGGGTTGAGGTGTAGGTTTAGGTAGAGTGGGTTTTGGGGGTTGTGGTGTAGGTTTTGGAGGTTGAGGTGTGGGTTGAGGTGGAGTGGGTATTGGAGGTTGAGATGGAGTTGGTTTTGGGGGTTGAGGTGTAGGTTTTGGAGGCTGTGGTGTAGGTTTCGGAGGTTGTGGCGGAGGTTGTAGTGTGTGTTGAGGTATAGGTTGTTGTGAGGGTTGTGGTGTTGGTTTTGGAGGTTGTGGTGTGGGTTGAGGAGGAGTGGGTTTTGTAGGTTGTGGTGAAGGTTTTGGAGGTTGAGGTGGAATGGGTTTTGGAAGTTGAGGTGTGGGCTGAGGTGGTGGTGAAGGTTTTGGAGGTTGTGGTGTGAGTTGAGGTGGAGTGGGCTTTGGGGGTTGTGGTGTTGTAGGCTCTGTTGAAGGTTTTGGAGGTTGTGTTGTAGGTTTCGGAGGTTGTGGAGAGGGTTTTGGAGGTTGAGGAGTTGGCTTTGGAGGTTGTGGAGTAGGTTGTGGTGCTGGCTTTGGAGGTTGTGGAGTGGGTTTTTGAGGTTGAGCAGAGGGTTTTGGAGGTTGTGGCTTGGGTTGTGGTGTTGGTTTTTGGGGTTGTGGTGTAGGTTTCGGAGGTTGTGGAGAGGGTTTTGGAGGTTGAGGAGTTGGTTGTGGAGGTTGCGGTGTAAATTTCGGAGGTAGTGGCGCAGGTTTTGGAGGCTGAGGAGTTGGCTGAGGTATAGGTTGTGGAGTGGGTTGTGGTGTAGGTTTTTGTGGAGCTATTTTAGTAAGTTTAGGAGATGAACTACTGGATTCTAGTTCCCTTTCTGCAGAGGATGAAAGGGCTGGGCGTCTAAGTTCTGTTTCTTCAGAAGATGAACGCGAAGCTGCTTTAAGTTCTCTTTCAACAGAAGGTTTTTTATTAGGTGGTTCTTCTTCTTCGGCCGATGATGAACGAGTTGGCATTTTAAGGTCCCCTTCAGGAGATAAACTACGTTTAGGTCTGCGGACACTTGGAGGTTTTACTAATGTCTCAGGTTTTTCCAAGGATGATCCTTCTATAGCTCCTGCTTGGTGTTCTAAGGTAGATAACAAAAATTGATGTAAATCTTCCACAGTCGTGTGTGAACCTTTAGGAACTGGTACACGAATAATACTAGCCCTCCCAACATTTTTAGTAAAATGAATGTCAATCCATTGTTCGTCAAGGGTACCAATTGTTGAAGGCCATGAATATGGATAACTTATGCTGTGCAAACCACAAACCCAGTCTCCAGAAAAGTATAGAGGTCTTGGTAAATGGACTCGGAATTTATTTGGTCTATTATCTGGATAATCGGAAACATTACTAGGAAGAAAAACAAAGAAAGTATTTGACATTTTTATCAAAATGAAATAATAAACAATTAAATATGCTTTTTATACTAGTTGCGTCTCATGAATCCATTCTCTTTCAGGATACCCTATAAACTTTACTAAAAGATCGTATGTCCCATCTGGTCTCTTCTTCTTTCTTATAACCTTCTCTATCCTATATTCAGTATCAGCATCCTTACGAACTCGAGCTAATTCCTCTCCATAGAATGATCCTTTGAACTTCTCACCCTTATCATCTTGAACTTTGTATCGAATTGGGTGAACATGCTTTTTAACATTGTCGACTTGAAGTATTTCATCACCCCAGTTTGGAATATAACCCTTCTCGAATACACCTTTTCCCAGACTCATTCGAACATAATCTCCTTTCTTAAGTTTTGGTTTTGTCTTTTTAGCTGAAAACACATCGCCATATATCTTCTCCCATACCTCTTGAGCGTTGTCAAAATTAACATGTACAGGCCTCATACCATGTACTCTACTTTTTGCTTTATTTATTCCTTCCAAAATTTTAGGGAGGACTTGAATCCAGTCTAAAGTTTTATTTTGGGCAAAATAGCGATAAATACGTTGTTTAATATGTCTAATCGCCCTTTCAGCTAGTGAGGCTTTCACTTCTGAGTGAGTTGGTTCCATCTTATGGATTTCCTCTTTTTGAAAAAATTCATTCATTTGAAAATTTTTAAATTCTTTTCCTTTATCCGAAAATATACGGTGTGGTTTCATGGGCATTTGTTTTATTAACTCATTGAACGCTATAACCATATTCTCTGCAGTTTTTGATTTTACAGGTACACCAAATATTCTTTTAGATAAAACATCGATTCCCAAAAGCAAATATTTATTCCCTTTGTTGTGTCTTGAGATTGCTTGAAAATCTGCCAAATCCACTTGAACATCTGTCATAAAACCTGCAGGTATTGTCAATGCTCTGTTAAAGTGAATACGTTTTGGGCGCATCAGAGTATAAGTCCTGTGTCCTTCTAAATAATCTTGCACAACATTTTTAGGTATATGTTTGAGTACCTTTCTAGCCTCATTCCATAGTCTATCCACACCTGAAAAGGCGGCGGGAGACTCTGGATTATTGTATAAATCTTGTAAAAGTTTAGTATAATCACCCATCTTTACCACAATGAAGGTTTAAATGTTTTACCATTTGCCTCTTTGCGTTTTGCTTTTATAAGCCTTAGCATCCATTCTCTACCTGCTCTTGCAGATTGTTTTTTCGTAACAGGCTTGACCTTTTTCAAAGCAACTAGGGGGCTTTCGTCTGGACCTTGCCATTTCCGTTTTAACTTTTGACGTCTTCGTACGTCATCTTCTTGTCGAGCCTTTAGCATTGCTGACTGGTCTAGAGGGATTTTTAGTTTTCTTATATCCCTTCTTTTTAATTCCCTTTCTTTTTGTTTCTTCATAATATTTTCCAGTCGTTGATCATATTTTATTCTTCTTAATTCTACTTTTTTCCGTTCCAACTCATCAATCTTCTTCCTTTTACTTTCTTCGATATTAATAGACTGCGACCTTTTTGTACCTTGGGGATTTGGTACAAAAGTGACCTCTTTATAGTATTGCGGGGTGTAAGGTATCCTTTGCTCCCTGATAGCCTTTTTCCTTTCTAGATATTGTCTTTTCTTTTCCTTTTTTCTATAGTCCTCCCCATCATCAACGATTTCTTTTTTAATAGGTTTAGTTTCGTAACTTTCATCTATTAAATGTCTTCTTTTGTCCTTTCCATTATCTTCGATTCGCTTTCTTTTAGAGGGTTTGTAATAGATAGGAATATTTGGTTTTTTAGTTTTAGGTTTCAATGTAATTGTCGGTTTAATATCAGGTAGGATAGGTGGTATAATATTATAAGATGTTGTTTCCTTTGGATATGAACTAAATGACATATCTTCACTCATCCACATATTATCGTCGTCTTCCCCAATATTTGAAGCTGGAAGAGAAGCGGTAGTATTCATAATTGCACCTTTTGGACTTGCAACCATCTCTACCTTAACTGGTCTATTTTGCTGTTCGTTTCGTAATTGTAAATATCGTCTAAGCTCTTGATTATAATGAACATTTTTTGCACTAGGTGTTTCTCTTTTAAGTTTTGTTTTCTCAAGACCTTGACGTACAAAATCCAAGTTTGGTTCACCTGTATCATAGGTTGTTAAACCCTTATAAATTTCTTCTGGAACTAAAATAAATTTATTTGCCATAATTAATTTTATATTAAGATGTAGCAGGGGCTTTTATAGTCATCATCCTTGCCATTTCGATAAGCACAGGTGTCAGAAGGGCGGCAAAAACTCCTACTCCACCACCTTTTTGATTTATAACATGTCTGGCGCCGCGTTCACTCCTAACTCTACTCATACTTCGCACAAATTCTGCATGGGGTAATAATCTTTTCTTTTGGCGTGTTGTAAGTTTGAACCTTTCTTTAACTATATTCAAACAAATTTCAGCTAAAGCTAAAAGTTGTTCATTATTTGATAATTTTAAAAGTCTTTTCCTTTTTCTTTTAGATTTAGTCTTTGACAATAGATGTAAAAATTTTAAGTTTTCATGAATTAATTGATTAACCATTTCCGTTTATAGGAATAAAAATTATCTTTTCATCGTCTTCCTTAAATATGTTGGTCCTAAGACGGAGGGTAGGATCCGAAGAAGCATGCATATCGACGAGTAAGTAACCAAAAGGTTGTTTGGTTGCCTGTCGATAGGAATCAAGAAAATAATCCAATTGTTTGGGAAATAATTGTACACCTATGTTTCTGATAGATAGCATCGAATTTGGTGATCTCATCAACACAAGATATTGAGAATCTTGTCGTGCTACTTTAATCTTCTTATCGAATAAATTTTGTGTGACAAAAATTACAGAAAAATTTTGATGGTGTGATTTTTTGGTGAATAATTCGGATAAATATTTTTCGTCAACAGAAAGAATTAGATCATCAAGAATTAGTAATAGTGGCTTCGGATATCTTTTAATCAAATCCTCAGGTGGAACTCCTGCAAATACATCAACTCCAGATTTTTGTAAAAGAGGTACAATATTGTTCATCTCACCAAAGCAATAAAGTATGGACTTTGGTTTAGGTTCAATTAGATCTGAAGCCTCCGAAATAAGTTTTAATAATAATGTACTCTTTCCACTTGAACTAGGACCAGATATAATCATTCCAAAAGGTAATTTAAATTTTAAATCTTTATTCGAGAAAGCTAAGGAATTCATTATGAATAATTTATGAATATAAGAAAATTTCACTTAAATATCTTTTTAATCGGTTGGTATTCCTGTCACCGTTGCATCTAAACTCTGAAAGAAATCATCCAACTCCTCTTTTGAAGGAAGTGTATCCAAGGGTTGGGGTGTCTGTGTCACTTCTTCAGGAATTGTGGGGAGAATTTGTGGTTCAATTGGTTCAGTTTTGGGAATCTCTGTAGAAGCATTGTATGGTACATTAAAAACTCGACCTTTATTCTTTACTTTGAAGAAGCAATGCCCTGGTAAATCATATAATAAATCAAAAGGAACAAATCTACTTCCTTCAAATCGTGTGCAATAGACTACCACTCCTTCCTTTACTATTATAAAATCTAGTTCAACTTCCGTGCTCTTACACTTACGGCACTTCCCTCCTTGGTCATAAGGAAGAAAACGGGGTGTTGTATAACGGACACTGGAAATTGTAATCCCAGTCGATGAAATGTTAAATTCAACCTCAGGTAATAATTTTGGGAACTTCATCTTTTAAATTAATTTCTCGGCCTTATGCCTCCGTTTATAATAACTTAGGAATATTTGACGTGAAGTAAAATTTATACGAAACTAAACAAGTATGGAATAAACCACCATTTTGAATATATTAGATAATTAAAACTGGTAGAGTAATTTAATACATGAGGGGATGTTGCAATAGTTCGATTTAGGTATAAGTCTAATTGTAAACTGTCATTGTATCTCTTTATACCATAGTGGCGAAATGGTGTTAACCTATAAAATTCAAAGTCTTCCGCATTCGCCCTAGACCCTTTTAATAGGTGTATTGGACACTGACACCTTCCTGGTATAAGTCCTGTAATGTTAAAAGGAAGATTCAATAAGTATTTTGGGCATCTACAGGGTTCCTGTTTCCACATATCCTGCCATCTGGGATCATCTACTAGAGATAAGTTTGAAGAGGAAGAAAGGGGAAATAATAAAAATAATATGAACATTTTGATTAAAGATTACATGAAATTGGGGTCTTTTATACCACTTCATTCAAATCTCCTGAGAATGATATCTTACGACTCAGCTCGTCGAGCCGGTCAGAATGAGTACCCATATACCTATACTTGGAAAAATTTCGTGTTCTAAGGTCCAGAACTCGAGTTTTGAGCTCGATTTTAGATTGAAACCACTTTGGTATGATTTATCTCATCAAACTGATCAAAATTTCAAAAATGACATATGTCAACTGACATATGTCAAAATGTCAATTGTCAAATGTTGGGTTGCCAATTTTGTCAGGGAGTAAGTGAGAGGCTAGGGAATAGCTTGGCGAAGTGTTTTTTCAATTATTTTAAAAAGTATCTCCTTTGAACCGGTTCAAAAGTACCTACTGAACCCTTTGGGAACTTCTTGAAACTTTGAACAATATAGAGATAGTATAGTATAGTTTAACTACTTTTATTTTATAAATTTTTATACATTTTTCCCTATCTAACAATAATTTTGCAAAATAATTTTTGCATGACCTATTCTATATAATTATTACTTTACAACACTAATTTTTGCAAAATTATTGCATGAATGATTTTTTTTGTAATTATTTCTATTTTTAATAAATTTTTGTATTTTTTCAACAATAAGAGTAAAAGTGAATAAAAAGAGTATTAGAAAACAGAGAAGATAGCTGGAAAGGTGAATTTTAAAAAGTAGTTCACATGTTTATGTAATCTTATATATATGAGCAATCATGTTTTGAACTGGGTAAACCGGTTTAAAACAACGTCTTAACCCTAGTATCTTTCTAAACATTTTATGAAATTTTGTGAATATTGAGGAGAATGGTTTTGTAATGTTTTTTTGTAATTATTTTTAAAAAGTTCAAAATTAAACCGGTTTGATCAAAGTACAGTTTAAACCTTTGGAAACTTCTTGGACTCTGACGACGGAGTAATTCTGACTATAATTGACCGTTTAAGAAGGGGGAGGGGCTAAATTGTTGGACCCCGCTGCCCCTGACGACTTCTCGGGGTGACTAACTACTCATGCATAATTTATTGATCGGACATCCAATATTTGTTTAGATATCGTATCAGGATGGAATCGGGTTCCCTGCCCTTTTTTAATTATCGAGCGCTAAAAGTAAAAGGGCCAAAGGATACTCACCAAAAATCTTCACTCTTTGGAAGACTGAAAATATTCATTTAAAGTAAAATCTAGCTGTTCAATAACTCTCATTTTTATAATTGAACTTAATCCGTGCCCATTAATTCTTTTGCCATTTTCTTATCCTAGAGAAATTAGGCATAAAAACATGAGAAGGAAATGTGAGGGAAAAGGGGGAATAAAAAATAAACAAGAGTACCGAATTTTTTTTAATTTTAGAAGGCCAAGAAGACAGAAATCCTCCGTTTTCTGACAAATCAAATAGAATGGAGGAAGCCTCAAAAATGGTTAATTTTGAAATTAAAATTGATAATAATGATGTAGTGTTTGTATCGGTAAATGGGTTCTAATCGTTACTTGAATTAGGACCTGCTACGTAAATTTTGACAAGATGCCGCCAAGTATATGTAGCCGTCGATCCAGGAAATTGGCTTTTTCGTTTTTGTTAGGGTTACTGATGCCTACGAGCCGGGGAGAACCCCTAAATCCCGTAATTTGGTTTGAGCTGGAAGACTCGTTATAATAATAGAAGTACTTAATAATTAATAGGGATGGGATTTACATTATATGGACTATCAATTGAAAAATATGGACATATAATATGAGCTAAAAATCTCAAAATATGGACTGAAATATGTACTAAAATCCAAAATATGGATCAAATATGGGCCGAAAACTGAAAATTTTTAACGGAAAAATATTCATTTTTAAGCAGAAAATGTTAAATTAGTTAATTTTGATGCAAAATATTACAAATAAATCAGTTTATAGTAATTTTCTTTTTCGAAAATACTTTGGATATATATGGGTGCTGGGTATTCATGATCACAGGAATATTTATGATCAAAGGAGTATTCATGATCATAGGAATATTTATATAGAGTGGAGAATTTTTCTATAGTTTAACTTTATTCTTTCATGCTTTTTAGAAACGATCGCCATTATGGAATCATTTTAATGATATTGGCGGTAATAGTGTAAAATGCAAACACTGCTCCGAACAAATTAAAAAAGGTTCTGCGTGGAATCATATCAGAAATTCACATAATGCTATTTACAAAAAAGATGTATATTTTGGCCCTATACGCAAAAGAGGGCGCCTTGATTTTTTCATCATTTTTTTCCTACATTAATATAAAATAATGGTCAGTCTTTTCTTCATCGTTCAATTCCACTCTTTTTACCTCTGGCATATTTAAATGAGAGGAAAGACTAAACACACAGGACAGAAAAAATACGAGTGTTTTGTCTGTCCGAGTCCGTCCGTGTTTTGTCTGTCTGTGTTTGTCCGTGTTTTTTCGTCTGTGTTCGTCCGTGCTTGTCTGTCCGAGTCCGTGTGTGTTTTTGTCTGTCCTCTCATTTAAATATGCCGAGTAAAAAAAGTGGAATTGAACGAGGAAGAAAAGACTGACCATTATTTTATATTAAAGTAGGAAAAAAATGATGAAAAAAATCAAGGCGCCCTCTTTTGCGTATAGGGTCTATATTTTTATATTATTGTTTAGAATAACTAATCTTATTCAATACCAGTCAAAGAAACAATTTTATATTTGTTGTTAAAATTTATTTCAGAGACAAGCTGTACTGGAACATTTTACCAAAATAAATAACGGACGAGACGAAGGAAAATTAAAATGTCATTATTGTAGACGTAAATTTGACGAGCATATTAATGCATTAACAAGCCATTGTTTAACACACGGAATTAATTTTGTCAATCCTGAAGAAAAAAATACAGAAATAAATGTGAGTAAATTAAAACTAATTTACAAAATGTTTAACAATGTTGTTGAGTTAAACGTTTTATAAGTAGCTAAATTATATATATATATAGCTACATTATATTTATAGGATTAGCCGAAACCGATTCCTGAAAATCGGGAATTCGTTCGGGATCCTGATCTACCGAAATCGAGAATTAGAATTTCATAGTAATTCCCGTTTCCGATTCCATAAATTTTTGAAAAATACGGTAATCTTCTGTTTCATTGGTCCCTAGAAAGAAAAAAGATCGAAAAAAGTTCTTTTTTGATATCTTGAATGT